CTGCAAGCTCCACAACCTAAGCCACAGGGATTGCAGAAAGAAAGAAAGAAAGTAGAGAGGTTTAGAAACTGCTGCTTTCCAAGATATGGCAAGGGACAGGGAATCCTGTGAATTCTTGCTCAATGACCAGAATGTGACCACCAAGGTCATAACTGTTTTCAAAGTGAGATTGTGTTTGCACCTCGATTTGCAGCATGGCCTCTTCAATGCCATCTCAACACGTTCCAGTGATTTCCCATTCTGTTGATAACTGGTGCCACCACCTTCGCTGAGCTTTGAAGGCTTTAGCAAAACAATTTATACCAGGTATTTCTCAAAAATGATGATTCCCAAAATTGCTTCAAGGGTTTAGCTTAAAAGGACATTTCGAGCACTAACCATGTTGAAATTCTTGTCCCCAAAAAATAGATCCAATTTTTGTGGGGTTCAGCCACATGACAAATAAACACCAAATCTGGGTATGACTAGACACTTTCAGTTTCCAGCTCCAAAGACTGCAGCTGATTCCAAGACAAATTGCAGATGGATTCCACCAATGGCCTCACCTTCTTGGCAGGTGGCTCCACAGCATCTTCAGATGATGAAGCACTGCCAGAGCTGCTGCTGTCATACTCAGATGACGAGGCGCTGTACCGCTGCAGTGCCATGTGTCTCAAAACGTCTCAAACAAGCTGTTTCAAGAAAGCATTCAATGCTATTAGATTCCAATGAGTTATGTTCATCATATCTTGAAGATGTTGTAAAATCTCAAACTGACATATCCCCAAATATCTTTTGAAATTGCCAAAGTGAGCCATAAATGGCAACTGCTTGATGACTTGTCCCACTTGCTAAGTCTGCATGCTAGAGCTGCTAGACAGAAATCTTGGAAACATGTTTTTCCTTTTGCACAAATCCAAACCTTTCGTCCTTTGGAGAGGGAGCCGGCCCTCACAAATCCAAAAACTTTGTATTTTGGAGAGGCAGTCGGTCCTCTTTGGTGACACTGTGCCAGTTCCATGCAGCAAGGTCACATGCAGAGAACCCTGCCAACCATGCACATGTACAGGCACGCAAGTTCATCGCATTCCCACCCAAGTCTTCAAGCTCCTTGGTCACATGCCACTTGGCCCAAAACAAGATGATAACCCCATGATATGTCTTATATTTATAATATTTTATAATATCATATTAATATCATATTATAAATTATTATACATATTATAGAATCAATATTCCCATGATATACCCCTTTGAATGGAAATTGTGAAAATTTTGATGCTGATTCAAGCCAAGGCTCACGCTTTGTGAGGTGACGTACATTTAAGTGATTCATAGGGAAAGACTGAAACATCATCTTCTCCAAGTCTGCCAGGGGCAAATATGATCAAATATGGGCAAATAGAAGATTAACAAAAAGATAGGACAGTGGGAGAAAAGTTTGCGCAAAGGTTTTGGAAAACAAAAACCACCAGGCCTAGCATGTAGCGTCCCATGGCCATATGGTAGAACTCACCACACGGTGTGATGCAGGGAACGTGGACAGAATGGCCCATCCTCTCAATGGATTGACTCAAATTCACCCATCCATGGTAGCCACCCTTCACCTTGAAGATTGCCAGTGCCTTGGTAAGGATGGGATATATCTCTGACCACTTTGATGCCTGGATATGTGCTGCCGAGCTGCATGTCTCTGCCGTGGATTCGATATATGATCGAAGTTTTCCCGCTGAAGGCACCGAGAAACTTCAGCTGGATCCACCTGTCCATTGGTGAAGCATCCATGTTTTTAAAATGGTTTCCAAATTGATGGTGTTTCAATGGGGGATGTTTGACAAAAGCCTGGCCTCCAATTGTTCCATCATTTTCCAATGTTTCAATGGCCACCGTGGCTTATTGTATTCAGGCCTCGGGTTTGCCCAGCATTGGTTCTAAAATGATACAATCTTTGAGGAAAATGACAACAAAAAATATTTGAATCATACCAAGAAGCTTGTGGTTCAGGGCAATGTCATCGCCACCCCTTCCTTTGGACCGACGGGTGGCCATATCCAGTTGAACCAGCTCATGGTCCATCGGGAACATCAATCGCTGCCTGGTGTGGAAAGAAATTCCCACCAAAATTGATACCTGATAACCCCTAAGCCCCATCAAAAAATGATATTTTTTCACCAAGATACGGATTAGGAGCCGGAACATCCACCTTGAGACGTTCCACCATTTCTTTCAAGACCCTCTCCAGTGTGGCATTGTTGTCAATGTCCTTGCGCAGGATCTTGCGATGAATCACCAATATATAGATGCGCCGTCGCTTGGCAACATCACCAAGGGCCAATGGGTCAATAATGACCTGATGGGAAAGCACACAGATAATAGTTATTAAGGGTGTCTTTGAATTGGGGAATGGAAATTATCAGATTGTACAAAGTAATGATATTGTTCAAAAAGGGCCAATAACATTAAATTATTATCAGACCAGATTGTTTCCAAACAAGAAAGCAATTAGTTTCAGCACTCAAAGGGGAAACATATTGAAAGGTGGGCCAAGTTACCTTGGCATACACATAACCATATTGCTTGAGGCGGTTGAAGGCCTTCTCAGCCTGCAAGAATCAGGGGTTAAAAATACCACCAGATGTGGATGCTAAGAACAACATGTTTCGAAACATACCAAACAGCATTACCATGCCTGGTCCCATACCCTCATCATTCCCAGCACGTTCTCGAGGCAGCTGATCCAAGGAGATGAGCGAGCAATTTCAGCCAGGCAGCCGAAGAATACTCGAGCTTCTTTTTCTTGAAAGTAGCGGCTAGAGTTATGAAGTATCGAAAACCTTAGGTGAGGAAATGGCCATGTTCCAGAACAAAGTGGTGGAAAACCAGGGGTGAATCTTTTCTGAAACTTGCCAGGGGACGGCTTGCAACTGAATCCACATGAGTACGCATTCTTGTGCTGTGCAACTTCCGATGTGTCTCTACCTTCCATAGAAGTGAAGATCCTTGCTTGATTCAGTAAAGCAGTAAAAATGCTAGAGAAACAAGAGTGCACACATCCCAGAGAAAACAACAAAACACTGCAAATGTAAAAGGTTTGAAACATTGCAGAAAAGTATCCTTCGTGGCTGCAGATTGCAGAGAATAAATTTCAGTGGCCCAATGGCATAGTCACACCTTACATTGGTTTCGATGACCAAAAAAGAAAGCCTAAGAAAGCATACTATCTGTTTTGTAAGTAGGGCCAAACAAACCAGGCAAGGGACGAAGACATGAGCTTGGACTTGTATGGTGCCATCTTGAGCAGTGAGAGGAATGCCCCTTCAGCGCCACTGCAGTCTGACTGCAGGTAGATTGGATGCATCTTGTTGATAAAGTCTTGCATGCCTCAGGGATGTCCAAATTTGCAAGATACATTCAACATTCAACATCCCTTTAGTCCCAGAGTATTTTACTGATGTGTTGGGGCATGCTGAACCCCCTCCTGATTTGCGAAGCATGTCATAGCTCCAGTCGTCCATATAACTCACCTGTGCAGGCGTCCATCGAGGCTCGTCACGATGATTGTCAGACCTCAGATGTTGGCAAGTGAGATAGAAAAAAAGAGTGCAAATGGTGGGGCTTCAGGTTGGTGAAAGCTTGTGGAAAATATGTTATGATTGGAAAGGTACGTTCTCCTCTTTGCAATGGCAAGTGGTGTCATTGACAGAGATTCAGAACGACTGGACCCAACAGAGTCATAGGAATACTCATCCATGTACTCATCATAGCTTGAGGAAGATGAGGATGCACTCTCATCATCATCAGGCTCCTCTGAAGATTCCAGTTAAACACGGCCTGATGGCATTGAAAATTGGTGATGGAGACCTTTGTGAATAGCCCCCCACAAAATTGAAGGGGGCAAACATAAATCAAAAATTGCTACATCTATTCCATGGCACCACCTGTGCCACCAACTATTGCTGGGCTTCGGCTTCGTGTGGACATGGCTTGTAGGCTAACATGGCATCATACCAGAACAATGATAGAACCTGTATATGAGAAGTTCTTAACATATTGTCTTTGAAATTATTGGATATTTAGCACATCTGGCAGCTTCGATCTGAATGGCTGGGAAGAGGCCAAGGACCTGGTTCCACTTGAGAAAGGACCTGGTTCACATGGTCAATTTATATATATATTAGGTATATTAATATAATGGTTTCCTGTTTAGTTGTTCATATATATTAGCATATATTAATATATTAATTAATATATATATATATATATACTATTACATATATTTATATATTATATACACATAATAGTTAATGGTTGATCCCTCCATATATATGATGTATAATACGGGGGATCAACCATTTCCAACTGTTTTTTTATTAAGGGGTCGTTTAATTTTCGGTCGCCGCGCCGGGCAAGGCCAACCCCTGGCGGTTACCGTCTGAGACCCACGGTCGGTTCTTCTCCGAAAACTGGGATCCCGGTAGTTCGCCAATAAAATGAGAAAATCACCAGGATCTGGGTAAACTACAATATTTCACTAATCTGAATTAAGACCATTTGGGGATCATTTCCCTTACTAACCATGATTTCCAGTGAGGTCGTAGTGAGGTCGTTATAATTTACCCAGCAGGATGGGGCCCCAGTTCGTTAGCTAAGTTGGTGAGCATAACTAATATAGCTGGTTGGTGGTATACCTACCCCTCTGAAAAATATGAGTTCGTCAGTTGGGATAATGACATTCACACCATATGGAAAAATAAAAAATGTTCCAAACCACCAACCAGTATAAGAATAGTGTATGATACGCAAATAATTAAATCTATAGATGGGGTTATGAGCCAACTTAGCAAACTATGGGGTCCCATCCGGTATAAATGGAAGTTTTATATAATCGGAAACACATCCATAAATGGGTGATGTTCCATTGCTATGTTTAATTGCCTATTAATGATCTAATTGGTTTTCACGGGATGCCATAAACCTACCACGACCGGGGGTGGTAAACATATCACCCATACAATGATATACTAGGAATGATGTGTGTTATTGCGTTTGCCACATGGACAGTCATGAACGATGTATGTCAGAAAATCCATTTGTTGTGGCATCATGTGGCATCCGAAAGCCGCCTCCATATCATGCTCTGAGCCCCTCACCTTATCTAGCCAAACGTTCTGCAACTCTGCCAGGGCTGCAAAGGACTCCGGCAGAAACCGCAGCACGTTTGCATTCCTAAGTGCTGCCAGAAACACATAGGGTCCTAGAAAAGATACAACCAGAATATAAAAGCAGCAACTAAGCGGAACATACCAGCACTTTGGCATGGCCGCGAAGCCGACTGGAATAAAACGGGCTAACCATTTGGGGTACACAACTTGAGGTACGGTATCAAATGCAAGAAAGTGACCCGAACAGAATTCAACCTGTCAGGCCCAGGGTTCCCAACATTGGCTGACCTTTACCCAAACGTCATGAGAGAGATCAGGTGATCCCCTTCGTTGCCTCGGACGTGGTGAAGGGACGGGGACCAGGGACACTTGGGGACATTGGTTAAGTGCATGCAGAACATCTTGGAAGTTACTTGAAATGGTTGTCGCAACGTAGCATGCAGCACGTCTTGGAAGATGCTTGAAATGCATGTTACAAAGTAACATCCAGAGCGTCCTGGAAGTTCACAGCATAGCATGCAGAACGTCTTGGAAGTTGATTGAAAATGATGTTAAAGCTGGCTGTCACAGCTGAAAAACGATCCTTTCCCATCTCTAAAACTATTGCGCCTGCCTCGCAAAACGAGGTCGAGTCACATTCGCCCCTACCCTAGGGTCACCTCCACCTTCAGTAGGGGCAAGTGCGACCCCACATGAGGTAGGGGCAAATGCAACCCCGTGCCCGTGGTGAACCCCCCTCTACATCCCTGAAAACGTAAGGCAAGCTTTTAAACAGGACATGTATGATGACCCGAAAGATATCCTAGAATTCTACTATAGAACATTTGAGGATACATTGCTGGATTTTTGGGAGCACATCATGACAATGTCTGCTGTACAACCAACTGTCACAATTTCACAATAGCATCAACAGCTTTCCATGGCTTTCCGATTTTTTTTGTGGACCACATGTGGCAGCCGAGGGTCAAGTTGAGGTCCTTCAACTGTGAAAGGTTCCCAATGTGATGAGGCAAAAAGGACAGCCTGTGAAGGCTCCAGGCTAAAGAACCGGGTGGCACCTTCGGTCAAGGTATCCCTTAAGGTATCCCTTGGTCCCTGGTAAGCGAATCACCTGATTTCAGGCATATCTTTATTCCCGTTTCAGCGGTGAGTTCAATTGGCTCATCAAACGTGCTTCATTTGGCCGATATGCTTGGGAAGTCTCTCAATGTCAAACAGGTGCCTAGGCGGCCTAGGCGGCCTAGAACATGATGATACCACAGCGGTGCATCTGGCCCAATGTGGAGTTCATATCTGGGGTTTAAGATCTTTTCTTCTCATATACATGACATGCTAAAATTAAGGAGATGATGGACGTGTCCTCAAACGGGGAGATTTTCCTTCAGGGACATGCCGCCTGTTGTGATTCACCAAGAGCTCCTTAAGAGATGTGGCTGTCACGATGCTGTCGGGCAACCTGAGGATCAGGATTTGCGGGATGGAACTGATATAAACAACAATCTGATACAGTAAACCCTATACACGGGAGATAAGTGGCGGATGAAGCAACAAAAAGGACATCTGTAACTACTGTAAAAGTATAGCTTGTGAATCTTATAAACAAACAATTGCATAAAAACAGTAATGATATTGGGATGATTATGCCGATTTTTTTGGAATGATGGCTTCCACAACAGTACAGTAAACTGAGGTTATCGGCAGAAATCATTGTGGATCGCCAATGAAGAGAACAGCGAAAATTTTCCAGGAAAACGTGATGAATTCACCAGCCAAATCATGAAAACTGGTGCACTCGGTAAAGAAGGCGATTTTCTCAGCGTATGAGATATGGGTATGGATCAATACCTATGAATACCATTTTTAGGGGGATGAACATCCATTTACCAGCTATTTTGATGTGAACTACAGGGGTACAAGGTTTTGACACACTGCCATATCTTGATTCCCTTTTTAATGGCCATAAAAAAAAATCTACCGACCCAAGGTTTCCCTATCTAAATTGGTCCGTTGATGTCCATTGTCTTTCAAAATCAGCGGTGCAAAATCGAGTCTCCAACAGTCTAGACTTGAATTGTTTTCATGTTTTTTCAACATATCACCAAGTTGCAAACACAATCCCGCCGAGTTCTCAAAGGGTTATGACTCAACACTGGCAGCTGTCCGACGTAATTGTGGTCAGATTAACGCCAGTGATTGAGTCGAGCATCAGATCTTCAGGGTTGCTCGAAACTTTTGAACTAAACTGGTTGGTGGTTTCAACCCCTCTGAAAATATGAAAGTCAGTTGGGGTTATTGTCCCCAATATATGGAAAAATATAAAATGTTCCAAACCACCAACCAGTAAATTATAGCAACAAGGAGGGGACGTCTGTAATTTTACCTCTGTAACTCGCAATTTTCCCCTGGCATCTGAGGTGGCCAGAGAGCAACTAACCCTGACAATCATAGTAAACCTCCATTCTATTTCATAGTATCACAATTTGGTTTAATGAGTTGCATCCCATCAGTGAAATTGACACCATCATATAATCATACAAGCCATCTAAAAATGAAACAAATCTAACCAAGAAACATGGTAAGCTGGTTGAAGGACACGTCCAAATGTTTCAGCTGCGGCAAATTGAACACATCTGGCAGCGTCTCCAGTTGATTCTGGGCCAATGTGAGTTCCTTCCTTGGGATCAAAGAAGGCGCCATAGATAACCCCCAAAACAAACAACATACCTTAGCCTTAGCCTTAAACCGAATTTTAAAAAATCAAGATAGAAAAACTATCAAGAGTTTAACAGTTTTCTAGTTCCCACCTCTTCACTTTTCTTTTTCGACTCTGAAGCTGTCAAACTGTTTCAAATGGCAGTGCCCAAGGCGCAGATTTCTGAGCCTTTCCAGGCCGGGCCAAACGCTGCGGATCTGATTTTTGGCCATGGCCAGGCGTTCCAAGGCGGTCAACTGCCCTAGACCCGGAAGCTTCGAGAGCTGGTTGGAGCACATCGAGAGCTCCTGGCCAGGGCTTCTCGAAGGATCGATGGAACAAAAAATTGGCCGGTGCACCCATGTTTTTAGATGTTTTTATCAGTGGGAGATCTTCAGGATCCTAAAATGGAGGTACTGTACTATAAAACGGCCATTGATTTTTAGTGAATATTTTTCGGTAGTAGAAACCAGGTCTTCAACAAATGTGCGGGTTCAAGATCGTGTCTACTCCTGGATTCTCCACTTTCGAGAAGCCGGCAATGATATACCCATTTGCCACCATCTATCAACGATCTATGGGTATGTGTCAAAATTGAACCGCCCCAAAACAAAACAAAAAAAACATCATGTACCTATCATGAAACAAAGAATATCATGATGTATCTATATTGAACCAAGTCATAGAAATTTCCAGAACAAAAAACATTCTTTGCAACAAACAGTTATCAACAATCAGGCTTCAACGAGCGGCTCAGCGCGCTGGAGTGCCCCGGTCACCTCGGTCCTTCAAGTTCTCCAAACACAGAATCCTCGATCCAAGACGCCATGAGGATGAGTTTCACATCCGAATTTTGAATAGGAGCACTGGGCCACAGGGTATCATTCCATTTGAAAATCACGAATCGGTCGGCCGCACCAGCCTGAAAAAAGTGATTATATAGCGTGTGATCCCCTGAAGAATAAGAAACTCTTGTTTGCAGGGGCCAATTCTCTGCAAGAAAACACCCGAGGCGGCCTGGTTTTTGGAACAAATTTCGAATTCACCCCAAAATTGCTGGCCAATGATGATAAAAACCTCAGCTCATGAGGCAATGAATGATCCAATCTCCCCATGAACTCTCAATTCTTGGTTGGTTGTTTCAACATCCTCTCGGAAATCTTGGCAAGACAGGTTGCTAGATTCAGCTCTAAGCCTTCAAAGCCTTGTCACCCCTATCCCCTGGCATCCAGGAAAATATCCCTTGTGCATCCTTGTGCATCCTTGCGCATCCTTGCGCATCCTTGTGCAGCCTGAGTTCCCTTCAGGAATCTCCTGAAATTGGTTTCGGTCCAGCTTCAACCTGTGGGGAGCAGAAGATTCGGACTTTCTGGTTCAAAATCCAGTGAGGGTCACAGGTAATCTGGCAAAAGGGCGTGCCATGCACCTTTTGTTGAATCAAATGGAGATCTTTGTCAGAAAGTCAAAAGTTGCAAAAAGTGAACAGTCAATAATAATATAATGTATGTCCACAATGTTCAAATGATTTCAACTAACTTCAACCTATCAAAATATATCATGTATTGTTGAAACTCCTGATTGTGATTTGATTGGGGAAAATATCTCCAAGGCTGACCCAATGGAGTCGCATAGAGGCGTCATATGATGATCCTTCACAACTCGGTTCGTGTAAAGAACCCTTTAACAAATATTATTTTTTGAGATTCTTTGGACATATTGGTGCGCACAGCGCACAAAATGTCAACATGTGTCAACTGTCTCCCAAGCTACCCTAGTTTCCAGGAATGACTTCCAATGTTTCAACATCTGCTGGGAGGCCAGCGGACAGAGCTGGAAAAAAACAGACCCATGCAGCCGGTTGAAGAGGCCACATATTTGGCCAACTTCATCTGGGCCGGCCGGACTGTTGCAAAGCTGTCAGCTGCTGAAAACTTTCAGGTAGGTCTGCCAGTTGATTTCCGTCGAAATCAAACCTTCCAGGGTATCATGCGCAAGGTGGTTGGGTAATTCGTGGGGAAAACCCAATGCCATAAACATCATAAACATCATAAACCATGGCTGGGGATTTTCCTTTTAATACCAGCCACAAAACAACCATGTGAGCTGGGGATGTTTTATGGGTTTACCACATGGTGCCACATGGGTATGGCAGATCTCACCAGGTCACTCGGTGAGTTTCTGCAAACTGCCAATGCTTTCCTGGGAGGCAGCAGGCACTCATAAAAGCCATCTTCCAAACCACCAACCAGATATAATATGTGATGGACATATAATGATGGATGGTGTATGTATATATATATATATATAAATATCTGGGTAAATTATCGTATTTCACTCACCTGAATAGTTCGGCCATTAAAGGGGATGATTCCCGAATCCTAACTATATGATTTCCAGTGAGGGAGAACAGTGAGGTCGTGATGAAATTTACCCAGATATATGGTTGTAAACCGTTGTAACAAATGCCTAGCCTGACTCGCAAGCTGTGGGATATGTTGTTTGTCAAAGTATAGTTTGGATAACCTACCTATTGTGATCGTCATGCAAAATGAGAACCCTCCAAACAAAAACTCTAGATACCTGTCCGCAGCAACAACCGACCCAACCACCAAGTCATATTGAATAACCCTATCAATCCATTCATAGGAGTTTCGGATTTTCCCATGAAAATGCCTGATTAAGAATTGCCAGTGATTAAACAAGTCTATCATCAACTTTCCCTTTGACATTTGGGGTGTAGCCTACAACCTGGGCCTATTTGGAGGGTTGGATATCCATGTGGCCATTTTGATTTTGATGCTCACCGCAACAAGATGTACAAGTCAGGATTTGGATTCGCAATTTTTCAAAGCAAGTCTCCGGGCAGTGTGGGATGTGATTGTTCGTCAAGAAAAGATGAGTGAGGGCCGGAAACCATTCGCCCACGTCTGTGGGCAACGCGCTCAGATTCGCCATCACGTTGAGTCGCAGAAGCTCACTGCAATCCGCCGGCTTCTTGCGTGCCTGAGATCTCGGGGATGTGCTGGACTAAGTTGGACAAATATCCTATAGTTATTTAATATTTACATAGTTATATCAAGTTAGATGTGCCTATGCGCATACATAGGCATATGCGTATGTATATATATATATATATAGCTCTGTGTGTGCATGTGCATATATAGGGGAGAAAAAAAAACTAAATAAATACATAAGAGAAAATACATGTGCTTTGTTATACATACCCAAAACAAAGGAAAATGCACAGTAATTTACAATATCCGTCTGTCTGACATTACTGCTGCCCAGCCTCACAGCCACGTTAGTGGAAACATGCAGCTTGAACATGTTTGGAAAAAAAACTAACATAGATCCACTGATGGTATGCACAACCATGTTTGTGGGTTTTTGCACGCTGTGAACACATGCAAAATGTGACTAACGTGACTCTAGTAGTAATGATGGGTCAGGAGTCAACATCCCAGTTAGATGGCGAAGAGCTAAGAAGTGACGTCCCACTTAGTACTTGGAAAATAGTTAGCCTCAGATAAACGTTTACATAACTATGGAAAGATCCACTATGTTTAATGGGTAAATCCACTATTTCGATTGGGCCATGTTCAATAGCTATATATGTATGTTTACCAGGCCGGGTAGCAAGCATCACAGTTTAGTCCTGACAAAATGCCACTCCGTGTAGATGATGTGATAAGGGATTCAGGGGACTAAGTCACTCTAAGTCACAACATAAAGTGCCTTGTGCAAGCCTTGTTCAACATACAACAACTTGCTATAACTTGCTATCTGCGATGCTCATCAAGGTTTGTATATCACAATTGATTTCATGCAATGCAATTTCCCCATCACATCATAATATCATGAACAATATTTGCTTCATACACCACCTGATAACTGGATAAACTAAAAAACTGGTTGAAAACGTAATGACACCTTCAGTGGATGTGTTAAAACGTTTTGCGGGAATCCGATGTTGTTTTTGTTTACCATTAATCATATCATTATGATTGGTTTCCTGCAAACAAAACAATCGTGATTGCGTCACACGGGACATATCCGGAAATACTTACATCCACCATTAATCATCTATCAATGGATTGGTGGGAAAATCGAAACCAGAAACCATTGATTTTCCATGGGTTTTCCCATGAAATACAGGGGATTCAACTGTCATTTTTCCCGGAAAATCCCTGGCGCCTTGGCCAGGAACTCCTCCATAGAGACTTTGATCTCCTGCGTGGCCGTCGCTGGAACTCCTGGACTTTGAAGCTGAAGCTTTAACCATAAGAATACCATAGGTTACCATCAACAATAGGGATTTAATTTAATATGGGTTAATGGGACTTAATATATCTTAATATGGACTTACTAGATCTATATACTGCTGTATATTTGTTACCATCTGATTATGACTAACAGTTTGCCATGGAAAGATCCACCATGCTATTAATAGGTAAACCATCTATTTCTATGGGCCATGGCTTCCAGGGCTATGTTAAATAACCACCAGAGGGTAATTTAACTTAATGGTCAAGGCTACTTGACTCTTTACACTTTACACCTCTATTTTTGCTTACCACCCACTTTTCATGGACAAATCCTTTAGGAATCAAACTTGGCTTGGAAAATCATCGAACTGAATGGTGGATTTTCCAGCAAGCCACGTTTGAGTACCTGAGGCAACACATCTCATTTTATTGTTGCTTATATCTTAAGTTATATCCCAGTATATCACACACATATATATATAATATCTCATATTATATATACATATATATTTTTTTTTTGATGGTTCTAAGCACCATTACAATCCATTACAATCCTAATCCCATTACGTGTTGGGCTCTCTCGCCATGATCCGACGTCGCCTGGATGTAGATCTGAATCAGTCCGTCAGGCAGCGCATCGGTGTCTGAAAGAAGGCCTGTCTCGAAGAGGACCACCTGCCGTGCCTGGCATTGGGGGCAAATTTTTTCGGGAAAATATGGAGAAACTATGGGAAATTCCATGAAAAATATGAAAATGTCTAGGAAGATCACTATGATCGATGGAATTCATGGGAGTTTCAGGGCATTTTTCTGGGATTTTCTTGGATGTGTTTGAAATTGAGAGGGGATCTCATGATTTTCATGTCGCTATGAAGGGAGTCTTTTGATAGGTGGTTTGTCCCATTATATGCTGAGGTTCATAGATGATTTTTTTGATGAATTCATTTCTTCGGAGATGATGACATACTGTGGATGGACAGAAATCCTGCACCAGTTGAAAACGGTGGTTTGTTCGGTGGTAAGCATCCCATTCTATGGGCTTTCAACCATCCTTTTGGTGGCGCAGGAGTTCATCCACAGTAGTAGGTCCTTAAAAAAACAAAATTGACTGTTCTTGAATGATTGCCAGTACAAATTATCAATGACCAGCTGAACACTATGAAACACATATATAATCAGCAACGCCATCCAGTCAAACATGGCAGTGGAAAATGTCATTGTTAAAAGAAAATACCATTCACCTATTCTTCAGCTATTCTTCAGCAAGTTCACTTTTGGGAGTGTATGGTAGATATATCAAACTACTTTAATGATCTTTAATGGGGCTCGTAATAATCCGGGTTGGATTACTGGTCATGGTCAGCCACTTTGAGGATGATTACTGCGAAGCATAACCAGAGCCCCGGAGTCTCAAGTTTGCGGCCCCAAAAGTATACAGTACCTATGCAAGAACAGTACATGTTCTAGGGATTCCGTCGTTGCTATCATGTGTGTGTATGTATATCTCTATTTGTGTATATATATACACATATATATATATATACACCTTTCAAGTGTGCATATATTCATGTAGCCATGTGTGCGGCTGTCAAAACTCCTTGTTCATGAAAAGGACATCAACATAATTTGGAAAGGTCCCATCGCTAACCACAGTTTCGTAGCAATTTAACATCATTGTGCCACTTGTAGCGTGTGTATTTGTAGCAACTTCATATGTACAAATTCAAATACACACGCTACAAATCCAAGTATCTTGCCACCGTAGAGTGTATCGTTGCTATCGCAGTGACCATTCTAAAGGGTAGTCACCAGGGATTTTCATGACCAGAGCCCGGCAATCCCTGGCAGGAACAGGGTTACCATCAAAAACTTGGACTAGTAAACCATCCCGATGATGATTGGGCCATTTCATGGTTTGGCACGTGACAAATTACAGTTTTGAGTTGGTTCTTCCAATGTCTTTGTAAAAAAATGGTTTCCAAATTTCAAATATCGCAAGTTTCAGTGATATCAGGTCGCAGGTCAAATCCCCCGATCTGAATTGTTTTAATTCCAATTTTCACGATTTAATGATTAAATCCATCAAATGTTGATGGTTAGAAACCATATCTTTTGTTGATGATGTACATCCTAAACATATCTTTACGGAAAAAAACCATATTGTTTTTTGTTTTCATATATGAAGCGTAAAAATAAATCAAATCACTTATTTAAATTGGCTAAATCGCCACATTAAATTATGGTGGGATCCCTCATTTCAGGGATAATCCATCAAATTCCCTATGTTTTTTCAGCTCAAATTCGTGCCTGCAACTTCAGCTGCTCTGCAATGATTTGTCTGGCCGCTGGCACTGTCAGCGCTGGATCCTCCAAACCTTCGCCTGACACTCTGAATCTGGGTCTGGCACCCCCCAATAGATAACCCGGTGGTTTATTCATCCGGGTTGGTATCAAAGTAATGGACATGAAAATCCATGGTTGTTTTTCCCGAAAAAAGATCTACATTCATGGTGATTTTTTTGCATTTACCTGGAACTTCCAAAACCTCTGAAATGGTCGGTCCATTTTGAGAGTACTGTACCGGTTTTTGCGATATACCGATTTTATCAAAACAACAGTTCCCCTTTAAAGCCCCAGTAGCTGCCTTTCTAGCGGTTTCAGGTTCCCTGTGGACATGTTACATTCCTGGCCCGTAAAGTGCACAGTAATGTCACATATGTAAACATGAATAAACATGTATGATAATGATTGATCATGTATGTATGTAATTGTATGTATACATGACAATACAACATTATACAACATTATACAACCATATATATACTACATGCTTGGACATGTACAGTAGTGCATGGGGGAGAATTCAAGAGGGTCAGAAAAGATTTCACAAATGCCGGCGTTTATCCACAGGTCAGATGGGAGCAACTTTTTTTTCCAGGCTACGCTTCACGCATCAGCAAGCCTGGTAGGTGGCTCAAATCTGGCATCTTCCAAGCGCTTTGGTGGACGGACAGCGGCCCCGCCATCCCTATGTCCTCAAAGCAATCGAACACTGCTGTTCGCTTTGCTGTTTCATCCAGTAGCGCGGCACACCAACCGCTCCGTAGAGCACCATGGAGATCAAGCTTCTTCGAATCACCGCAATGCAAGCAGTGCTGTGGTTCCAGCACTTCTCCACATGCCATGGCCTTTGTGAAGATCTCACTGGAAGGTTTTTCGGCCCCAGCTGCGTAGGATGTAAGCACAAAGTCAAAGCAATCTCTAATTTCCAGCTGCTCCAAAATCATCTCCAACCGGTCGTCCATGTTCGAGAGCACGCCCAAGCGACAGGAGTTTTGACTGCACCAGTGACGCAAGGAGTCAAGTGTCGATCTAGTGTGGGGGAACAGCTCCCAAGCTTCCTGTCCGGCAAACAGGTCGTACAAATGCTGGAAGATCCCTTCAAAGTCCTTGTGGTCGGCTCCCACTCCGGCACCTTCCAACGTCTCTGCCACCACTTTGCGCCACCAGGCCCGGCATCCCTGCTCTGCTGCACCGAAGGAAGGGCTCCTTTGTGATTGCCGTGCAATGGCCACCCTGCAACGGCACGTGAGGTCATCTGCAGAAACAGCAACACCAGGCACCTTGCTCAGTCGCTGAAGGTAGAGCTCACCCACCGGTCTTCGGAGACGAAGTAACGTGTTAGTGCTGTCCAGGGTAATCAGGCGGGGTGCCAAAAACCCAGGCATCCCCATCCACAGTGCACAAGCTACAAAGCACCACCTCCGAAGCGTCAGTTTCCAGCGCCACATGGGGCCATGGCGGCTCGGTCTTCATCAGCGACAAACATGGTATGACAAGACAGATGGGCACAACTGGTTCTATCATTTTCAAGCCATTGATGACTGGAATTGCCCAGGGACTTGCTTAGCTTTGTCGAACAATTGAATCCATTCAACTCGCTAAGGTCAACTGATCAATGGTCAATTGCCAAGGGAAGACAAGTAAGCTGAAATGGCCAAGGAGAAAAATAATCCTCAAACGCAAGTTTAGAGGTCCGGGATATGCACCTGAAGTGCGAGGAGTTAGCGTGTAAAATTGTGTCAAACAGTCTGGTCTCCTGAAATAGTGTTGTCATTGTTTTGATTATATAATAAAATAAAGCCTGCAAGAGTTTGGGATATCTTTGGGTCCGGTGTGAATAATTGCCCATATCATCATATTTTGGCAATTCCTCATTATGTTCAATACCGTCCCATCGAAACGTGCTTTGTGGGCCCCTTCTTGGTGTGTTATCATTACTCTGCTGGTTACATGTCCAAGGGGAGAAAAAAGGGTGACTCACCCCCAGTCAAGAGATGTTGAAAGTGACTAATTATTAGGCAATGTAATGGCAATGTAACAGCTGCTATCGAACATGGTGCATTTAAGACTGGTGGTCGTCCACAGCCATGTTAAATTCCAAAATCCTACGTATAGAGCACACAATAGGTGCCGTACAATGAGACATCAGTGGTTGTTGCTAAATGACCAGAGGCTAACTGTCAATGTCAACACTGGAATAATAAACCATGGTCCATGGTTTATTAGGAGGGTTCTCCCCAAATAGTCATAATCTGATACTTCAATGGAACCCCTCCAATTCAACAGCCGTTTGGGGTCGATTAGTCCAGGATATCGCTGTCCCGGCCTGGCACCGAATCCCCGTTCATGAGGCGGAATTCGCGCCCCATGGCGCAACGCACAATGAAACCAGCGGCCGCGAATGAATGAAAAAAACAACGAAACCACGGGAAATCCCATAAACTCGAGGTTTCCTTTGCAGCTCTCATGCCACCAATTAACTGCAGCAACACTGAGGATAATCAAAACCAAAAAACAACCCCCCAAAAAGAAATTGAAACATGACGTGCCCATTCTGTGTATGGTGCATTTCGTGGGTTCAATTTTGCTGTATCAACAATGGTGGTGTCACACTTGCCATGCAAGTATGCCATTGAGTTTTCAAAATCATCAAAAAATCAAGACTTAGAAAAACACCAAACTGATCAACATATCAACATGTTCTATCAGCAGGAAAGGGAGGGGTTTGCTGTTCATGAATGACATGTCGTTTCTCAAGCCACCGGGCCAAAATCGGTGAGCGGAGGGCCAAGTTGGCCACAACTTTGGGGGATGCAATAGCATCATGGGGGATGTTCCATCAACTAACCACTTCGGCCATTTGGAAACCAAACAAAACAACACCATCATGGATGGGCGGGCGACAATGAATCTTATAAACATATAATTTATCTGGTGTTGGTCCTGTAGGTTTTTTTTAAATATTTTACTGCATATATTGCAAAAATCAAAGCACTAACAACATAAACCGCTGATAGATTATATATCTCATAGGTGGGACACATCGATTTTGCCACCAATGGTTTCCAGTAGATTTCCATAAACCATCATATAGCAACATCTGGCTCAAAATAACCAGTTGACCCAAATAGCCGGTTAATTTCCAGCATTATCGAAACCACCCATTTGAAGCGAGTACACTAAACATTATCTCAATACCCATGTTTTACCTTTAACCTTTAGTATGTAACCATCCCATTCTTTGTAGTTGTCAATCAGATTTGGCTATGGACCAATATTTACACACATGCATATACAGTATATAAATAATTACAGATATAAATTTATATAAATATAACACACATATATGTATATATATATATATACAACATCTATATAACATATATATATATACTGTATAACATTTATATATATATATATATAACAAATATATAAAAACATATATGTATATATATATATGTGTAAAACATATATATATAACATATATATATATAACCGATATATATATATATATACATATATAACCGATATATATATATATATAACATAAATTGTATAACAAATATACATATACAACACACACATATATATATATAACACACATATTTATATAACATATATATATATATTCTTTTTATACATTCCTAAACCATTCTATACACTTTTTTTGGGGGAACGTCCATTTGCCAGCTATGTTCCCGGGGGTGTAAAGGGTTTTGACCAATCCCAGGCGAAAATGCAAGTCAATAATTTGGAGCCATGCCCCTGTTGAGCCGCCTTGTTTTGATCCGCAGGCTTTGCATGGATACAGGCCGCCTCGCACAGCATCTAATATCACAGGATCCAAATCAGCCATAATCACCCATGACAAACCAGGCTACACAAGGTTTCAATGAAGACCTCAAATTATACAATGCTAGAAAGAAATGGATGCATACACGGATGCATACATACATACATACATACATAATAAATAGAAATGGTAGGCATAGGCAATGTGCAAGTCACTGGTATCAACCAGCAAATTAGAGACATGCCCTCCGGGGAAGTTAACGTCAAATCCATTGCTTGCATTGGAGTTGCGGGGCTTGTGCCGGTAAATGAGACCAAATGACGGGCTTCAAGGGAGGGCACAAAATGCATTGCTAATATGACTCCCCTAATATTAACCACCTCGCAGAACCCAGGGGATTTACACATATATAATCACATATATGTGACACCTTAGAATGGCCGGGGGTGTTTAATATTGGGGGGATTGGATCAACAATGGTCAACATTTCAATATACTTCAACCCATTCATAATGGGGAGATACCATATGGCATATAATACATAATGAATTAAAGGAATTACCAATTACCAACCTCTCTCCATCGTGATACTGCGCGTCGAGCCGTCCAGCCACGATTTGCCCCGCCCGGCGGCATCGAACTAGATGGGGGTTTGGATTTTCATGGGCTTTCCGATTTTCAACGATTTTCCATGTTCGATTTCCGGTAATTCATTCATGTCATGTTTAAGAAATAGCCTCCCAAGTGGTGATACTTCAGCATCGTGAAAAATTACCCGGCTTACGCATCACAAATAATGCACACAAATAGGCAAGGATCTCGAGCTGGAATACATTGATTGTTCTATTTGTGGGAAACCAACCCGGCCCCACTGAACCCTCGTCTGCATCTCTCTCTCTCTCTCTCTCTCCCTCTCTCCCTCTCTCCCCCCCTCTCTCTCTCTCTCTCTCTCTCTCTCGCTCCTTCCTCTCTCTCTCTCCATCACCAGCTTGAAAAAAAAACATCGAACTGCCAAACTAAGTTTTCCTAGAAATGATATGCGGGTGTAACTTGGTGAACTAGAGTGGCTTCAAGAAAACATATTATCAAACGGCTGGCCCACTGGATGGAACAACATATGTTTGGGCAAGAGAGGAACAAGTCGGATTGTCTAAATTTGGTTATTCCTTCTATCATTTTCACCAGGTTTGGGACCCATTTGGGGCTAGGCTAGGTCATGATCAATTATTCAAAGGTAGTCATGCGTGTTCAGATTAATTTACATGTATGTATACGCGTACACCGGTCAACATGTACACTAAGCATCCGATCACCTTGACATAATTCTGGCATTCGGGTCACCTAGCTTTGGGATATGCTGGGGTCACTTCAACAACGGTTGTGTGACTACCGTTATCCTATGTTATTCCTTGCTTTTCTTTGTGTCCATGTCTGAGGACCTGGTATCCTTGTGGCGCGAATGGTCAGTTCTCGCTTTCGATTCATGTATCGGGGGACATCTGGAGGTAACCAACATGTCTTAGCACGCGTCACAGTATGTCCTGACAGCGTGCCCTGGTTTGACAATTAAACACATTTAAAATTGTAGCAATGTGGTAAGAACATTCCATTCAACTGTCAGTTCCACATAGTTTCGGGAACCGCGCCTTTTCTGGTCAGTGATTGCAAATGGTTTATTATCATTTTACCCCATCAGGGACATTTCTGACTGGGTACCCTCGCGCCGCTGGCTTGGGGAGTGTACCATGGCTGCCGCCAAAATGAAAATTCAGCACCCTCCAGCACTGGAACATGCCTGGAAACCCACCGAATCTGGACTCTGAAAACAATGTAAACACTATAATGAATGTATTTATTTAAAATCATTTAAATAAATTAATAAATAAATATTTATTTATTTATTTACTGATTGTGTACATACACACATACACACATATATATAATTATATATATACAGTATGTAGATACATATATGTCAACGTTCCAGTACACTGGGAAACATCAAAATAGCCGGTAAATGAAGGGTACTCTTCCCAAAATATGGCCTCGCAGGTTTTGACCCATATCCATGCATATATAAAGATATGATATCATATATGTCATGCTGTGCTCTCTGGTGAACTAACATAGGTAAGGAAAGTCAAATGTTTTAACAGGTAAATCACGAACTATACATGGCCATTTTCCATAGCTACGGCATGTTACATTACCAAATGGTATTGATGTCTCTGATTTATCACATTGGGGGAGCTTCCGTTGCCAGGTTCCATCCTCGGAGCTCGAACAGCTCTTGCTGCACAGAATCCTGCAGCCCTTGGAGCTTCAAGAAGAAGGAAAAAAAGGATGTGAATAGCATCATTACAGTATATATTGTGGGTAAAAACAATGCTATAAACTTAACATTCACAGCCATGAGTGGCTTATGGCATTGTTTTGCCCATGGTAGATGCCAACCCCGGATTGCTAAAATAATCCCGACCCTGGTGGTAAAATGAGCCAGAAACTTAGTGATGTTAATTTGATACTAAAATACCGACCGCCCTGCCCCCTCAAAAAAATACATAGAAAGATATACCAGTAGTACCGCACAAGGCGGTGGCGGAAGTTTCAAAGATAGGAAACCTACAGGAGAGGTTGGTTGTTGTAAATCACGGA